GTGTGGATCAGTGAATCGATGTCTCGTTCACTCTTGGCATACAGCTTGATGTCATCCATGTACAGGAGGTGGCTGACAACTGCTCCGTTCCGTAGTCGGTATCCATAGCCAGTCTTGTTAATGATCTCACTGAGGGGGTTGAGGCCTTTGCAGAACAGCAGTGGGGACAGAGCATCTCCTTGGTAGATCCTGCACTTGATGGTGACTTGTGCTATGGGCTTGAGGTTGGCCTCTAGTGTTGTCTGCCACATCCCCATTGAGTTCCTGATGAAGGCTCTCAGGGTCCTGTTGATCTTGTACAATTCTAGGCATTCCAGGATCCAGCTGTGGGGCATTGAGTCATAGGCCTTATTGTAATCAATCCAGGCACAGATTGGTCAGTCTGGTCTTGCAGTCTCGGCTGACTGTTCTGTCTACCATTAGCTGGTGTTTCCCTTTCTGTGCCCCGCTCATGTATTGACCCATGTGCCTGTTTGTCTTAGCCGATATGATGCCTGACAGGAGCTTCCATGTAGTACTGAGGCGGTAGTTGGATGGGACCGGTCCCTTCTTGGGGTCCTGGGGTTCTTGGGGTCTTCAGCAAGTAGGCGTGAACCCTGTCGGGGCTTGGTGCTGTCCAACTCTTCATACTACAGACCCTTGCAACATAGGTGTTGGGTCTGTGTTTCCACAAGCCCCGCTAGTTTAGAGACTTATTCATCATGAAGAAAACAAGACAGTCACCAATCGATCGATTTACTTGCAAGGGAGGCCTCGTCGGTGTCTACCACAAAATGACCACAATGACGGCCTCCTCTTGCTGCCTTTTATTGGGAAAACAGTTCACACAATACACATCACAGCACCTCCCTCCGTAAAACCCCCCTTGGTTACAAAGACAAGGCACTATGTGTGTGCACGTGTAGCTTTCCCCTATTTTTTTCTCCCCTTAGCTTTCCCCTTCCCTGCCTTTCACAACACTTCTCACCCTAATATTTTCATGTTTTCAAAAACATATTTTGGTAATTTCAGTGTTTATGTAAAATATTTGCTCACCCATAAAAAAAGAAAGTTGGAGTAAAGGTTTAAATACGGTTATCCATTCATAAAATACGATACTCTGTTAAAGATCAAGAGCATTTTTGTTTTTTTCCATCACTTAGCAACATGTAAAGACCGCTGACACATTAATGCATCAGTAATTACTGTGTAATCCACCAAATGAAATGCAATAACAGAACATTAACTTGCAGCAGATAAATGTCCATTTTCTGGTATTTCTACTGTGACTTAAGTAAAGGATGTGCATTTTTTTTTTTTGAGCTATAAATATAAATGGGCTTGTTCGACCTTCAGGCTGCATAACTACATTTTCAGCCTCTCTCTTTCTCTCCCTCTGAGCTTTCACATTTCCTGATCGCTGTGCCTGTTTGTATTGATATTAGCACGAAGTGCAGAATCCTAATGGTGTATGTAAGTACCACAGCGGTCTCCCTAAGACTCTCATAAAAGATGTATGACAGTGATGGGGATTTGTGAGCTCAACCACATACTTGTATACACACATGTACGCAGTAAGCAGGTTTTGACCCAAAGCTTGACCTGGAATCATCTCCTTGAGAGCATCAAGTCCTGTTACCAGGAGACCATTACTTATAGTTTGGGGTTTTTTCAGAATTTCCTCTTCCTGTCATAGATTAGAGTTGTAGAAAGACAGCAGCAGAGATGTGTTTACCAGTATCTGTTTCCTGAGGCTTCAGCTTTGTATCCTTAACAATTTCTTGTCTTTTCAGTCCAAATATTATAATGTTGTCTAACAACACACAAGGTCACAATTGGGCTGCTGGTTTGTTTGTTTGTTTTTTGTCTAGTGCAACTCCTGTTAGATTTGTTTCTTTTAATTTTATTATATTGTTCCCTGGTGTAGAAATGCCACAATATATTTGACAATATAACATTATTGTTGCTTTATGATAAACAGTTTTATTTCTTCTTTATTTTATTTTTGGAGAAATTGTCTTTTTCATCAGTTTGGCACAGCAGAAGATTTATCCCAAATTAATTCAGCCTGAGAAAAACACACGCAGAGTCACAGTTCTGTGAAGTATAGACCACAGATTTAGTCATTAGATTCACAAGCCACATATAGTCCTGTTGTCTCACATTATCCGAATCAATTAAAGTATTTTTTAACTCAAAACTGTTCCCTTTCATTCAGTGTTAAGTGTACGTTCTGAAAACACACATATATTAAACCACCTAGTAAATAATAGCTTAAGAAAACAAGCAGAATGTCAACAACATGTCCCTGTTCTTTGACATTCAGTAAGTAAGTCTACTGTCATTACAAAGAAATGCAAATGGCTCAGTCAAAGGCACAGCTCCTTGACTTAACCATCTTACTTTTCTGTGACACGGCAGGCTGTGGGTGATGTCTTTGCTTTTGTCAGTTCAAGGGCTGTAAAACTGATGATGATATTTTAGGTCTGTCAAGCTGTGATGATCGTAGACCAGTGATTTAACACACAAATAACTACTGTTTGAATATGGTCAGGTACAAGGACTGGACTGAAAATGAGTGATAACGTAGCCAATGTCTGAATAAAAATTCTAAAAGACCTTCAGAAATCCTGGAGAACGACTCCTCCACCACTGTAAAATATTACAAGAAAGTCTAAGTCTTTGGAAGCCAAATGTAAAGAAATGAGGGGGTGGTTCAAAACTTTTGTTTCAGCTCCAAATATAATTTAAAGTTTCCAGGTGAATGTGTCAAGAAACT